TCTCTCTCTCTCTCTCTCTCTCTCTCTCTCTCTCTCTCTCTCTCGCTTTCTCTAGTAGTACCCCCCCCTCCTTTCTCTCTCTCTCTCTCTCTCTCTGGTAGCCCCCCCCCTCCCTCTCTATCTGTTTCTCTTTCTTTCTCTCTCTCTCTCTGTCTCTCTCTCACACTCGTAACAATAAATGGAACAAAACTCTCTTTTTTTTCTCTCTCTCTCTCTCTCTCTCTCTCTCTCTCTCTCTTGTGTGAGCTCTTAGTCTCATTGATTTGGCTACCTGAGGGCTGCGTTTCCCGCGCCCACGCGGTAGACAATTGCCTCTTGCAATACGCCTATTCCGTTGTGCCTGACCTCCCTGTTTTGAGAAGACGGGGCTCAAAATGCCTGGGCCTGAGGGCCCTTTTGCAGTTCACATGCCCTCACTTCTTTTTGGGGTCCGCTTCTACCCGGGGTCCGGTCCAACGCCCCCCACTTCTTTTTGGGGTCCACTTCCACCCGAGGACCGGTCTTTCCGTTTTCCAAAAGTCCCGGTTCTAGCAGAGCTAGCTGTACGTAGTCCCCAGTTTTGCCAAGGTACGGTCCCCCAATTTTTTTTGCCCCCTAAGAACCCACTTTGCGTCCTGGTCGCCCGCCGCCAAAATGCGACACCTTGACACAGATGCGGAAGCCCACTATACCGCAGCCAAAGGGCTGCGAACTGACGCTGGACTCCGTTTCCAGCAGGTGCTGCTCCCCACCAATGGGCTGGAGCATCCAGGGGCAGGTTACCACCACCCCACACTGTATCCCGAGGCCGAGGCTGGTTTCTTAGGGGAAAGAAAACAAAGCTAGGCTAGTTGGTCCGAGGCCAATTTTTCCCAAGTAGGGAAGCCGCCCCCTAACAAACTTTTCTGGTGGGCGGGCCTGCGGATAGCCCTGCTTTCCTTCTCTGCCCTTGCCACAGACCACCTTCTGCCCTCTGCCTGGTGCCCATACTGCCCTCTGCTCGCTGCCCTACTGCCCACACAGCGCGTGCGCGCCACCCACTGCCCGCTGCCCTACTGGCAGCACACCAGGCCCCCACTAACCGCTGCCCGCACTTTATTACATGCGCTTGGTCGCTCGCTCGCGGGATAGTCCGTGTGCTCTCACTAGACTGCCGCTCTGTCGACGCTGCGGCTCTCTCTAGGCTGGTGCATGGTCGTTGATCTCTGTCTCTCTTTTCACCCACGCGCCCCGCCCCCTCCCTTTCCCCGGCGATGGACTCGACTCTCGACTGCGCTACGGTAGGCTGAACTCGACTCGCTATTGCGCTACGCCAGGGTCGACTCTGGACTATGCCACTCCTCGACTCTCGGCTCGCCGCTTGGACTACCCGGACTGTATGCTAGACTGGGCTCTCGACTGTATACCTGGACTGTAGCCTATTAGTAGGCTTCGGTAGACACGGTCATGTGAGTGTCCGCGCTCGCGCAAGAGAGAGAGAGAGAGAGAGAGAGAGAGAGAGAGAGAGAGAGAGAGAGAGAGAGAGAGAGAGAGAGAGAGAGACTCTCTTCTGGGGACTTGGACTCTCGACTCGCTATGCTTCGCACACACACACGCTGATCACACACGCACACCACACACACACGCACGCACATACGTTCATCACACACACATGCTCATCACACACACACACACGTCTACATTTTGGGGCGCATTTCGTCCGGATTTGTGGTCGCGAAGCTCTTGTTGGAGGTTGGGCTCTGCGTCGTGAAGGTTGAAGAGGCCGAGTCGTCGTACAGACGACCGGGCCACCATGACTGAAGGTGAGTTAACCCTCCACCTGTATGTGTGCATGTGTTTGTTTTTCTTTTTTTTGTGGCGATTTTCTGCTTTTTAATTTACGTGTTGTTTTGTTTAGTGGATTGCCACGTTGCACGCCTGCGTGGGAGAGAGAGAGAGAGAGAGGGGGAGGGGAGGGGAGGGCGGGAGGGGGCGAGCGTGAGGAGGAGGAAGCTGCAAAAGGAAAACGTTCGATCAATGCCACGTCGATTGAACAAACGCGAGTCCGTGCGCGCGTGCACGTGTGTGNAGAGAGAGAGAGAGAGAGAGAGAGAGAGAGAGAGAGAGAGAGAGAGAGAGAGAATGGCCGACGAAAGCGGCGTGGCGGCGGCACGAACGACGGCGACTATGCCGTCTACGTCTTCAACGACGCCAGTTGGCTAGGGGGTGGGATCTACGACCCCGGTCGCCATCTCTATGCCTCTTGCTCCACCATCTTCATCACCCCCTTCAACACCGACAATTGTGGAAGGGGGCCCAATTGGCAAGGGGGGCCAAATGGCGGAAGAGGGTTTAGGCCATTATGATGGAGGATGGGGGCACCTTCCGGTAGCGCACTCCCAGCGAACAGGCAGTTGGGGGGGGGATCTGACGCGCGGTCTGTTCGGGTGGGCGGCCATTGCCGAGATCTACTCGCATGTAGATCTCCATACGTACCCTCCTCTGCCTAACGGTTATCTCAACTCGCTGCCGACGAGCGACGACAAAGGGGGAGGGGGTGACGATGGCAGCGATGACGGAGGAGGGGAGGTTGGCGTTGGAGGCACTTTTGTTTAGGCCCTCGTCTTTTTGGGCGTTTTCTTGTTTGTTTTCTTTTGTTTATTTTTGTTTACGTTGAAATTATTTTTATTTTTATTTTTTTTTCTTCTTTTTCTTCTTCTTCTTCTTCTTCTTCTTCACCTTCCTCTTATTTTTTTTTATTTTTTTTTTCTTCTTCTTCTTCTTCTTCTTCTACTTCCCCTTCTTATTCGGATGGGAGACGGTTATAATAAGATGATGAATGAAGAAGGGCGGCGACTGAAAGTAGACGGGGATAAGCTTGTGTATGGTAGGTGTGCATTTTTTTGCTTATCTGATGAGGCAAGTTTTCGAGTTTGGATATATTGACATATTTTGGTAATTCTGCGTACGGCTTTATGTTTTCCACTTGAATTATACTCTATTTGATTATGCTTTCTCTTCATCTTTTAGCCATTATTCATCGTTTTCTTTCTATTTCCCTTTCGCTTTTGCGCTCTTATTGGCGTTGTTGGTTAGAGGTGATGAACACGTGGGCCTTTCATTCGTTAGTTTTTTAATACTTCCTTGTTTTGTTGTTTTCCTCCTTCGCGATCGGTCACAATGTCAATCAGAGCGTGAAGGCGATAAAAGCAACACAAGGATCCGTTTTTTGTTGTTGGTTATTGCACCCTGTTTTGTTGTGATTGGTTGTTCCCTTCGTCTTTTCTTTGCTTCTATGACCTCAAATTTTTACAAGTGGGTCAATATGACAAACGGGGGTGGGGGCAGCCGCCGCTCAACCTACATCCACATGGGCGGCTTTGTACGCAAGAGATTTTGAACAGGGGGGATGAAAAAAAATAAAATTGAATTCATTTTTTTCTGTTTTTTCTTTCTTTCTTCTTTTTATTATTTTCGCTTTTGCGCTCTGATATTCTTGTGATAATATGTATATATATATATGCCTTTCGACTATGTGCAAGTGGATCAATATGACACACGGGGGTGGGTACAGCCGCCGCTCAGCCACATCCACGAGGGCGGCCTTGTACGCAAGAGGTTGTCAACAGGGGGAGTTGTAATTATGAAGAAAATAAATGAATTTATATCTTTCTTGTTCCGTTTCGTTTTTATTGCTTTTGCGCTCTGATAACTTCGTGACAATGTATATATAGGATGCTGTTCTGTGACTTCCGTCAATATGAAGAAAGAAATTGAATTCATTTTTTCCTGTTTTTCTTTCCCTTTTTCTTTTTCCTGTTTTTTGCTTTCGCCGCCTGTTTGACATCCTGGATGTTGTTGCCCACTGTTTTGTTATATTGGGATGTTCCCTTCCTCTTTCCTTTGCGTGTTTGCCTTTTGACTTTATGCAAGTGGGTCGATATGACACGCGGGGGKGGGGGCAGCCGCCGCTAAACTACATCCACGTGGGCGGCCTTGTAGGAAGAGGTATGAAGAGTGGAAAGTTGTAAGTAAGAACATAAAAAAATATCAGATATCGCTTTTTTTTTTTTCTTTTTTTTTTTGTGCTCTAATCGGTTTGAGACTATATATATATATATAGAGAGAGAGTTTTCCATCTGGTGTGGGTGAGTAATAGTCTACTTTGATTTTGGTTAAGGTATATTATCATTTACAGTGTAATCCTGTCTCTTATACACATCTAGATGTGTATAAGAGACAGGAGAGAGAGAGAGAGAGAGAGAGAGAGAGAGAGAGAGAGAGAGCTTTTGAGTGGCTTGCTCTTATCGTTAACCCAAAAGAAGAAAAAAAGAGTGGAAATAGAACCCCCCCATGCCAAGATTTGTGTATTTTCTCACATCCGAAGGAGAATACTTCTTACGCACGAAGGGAGAGATTTGCTGGCAATGTAATAAATGTTAAAGCATTTTTGAGAGAACATGCCGGTTGCTATCCGACTGTCCCCAGGCCACCGCACCCGTCATGCTCTTTGCTTTTGTTAGCTAAATTTCCGTGTTTTTTTGGGGCGTATCGAGTTCAATTGTAGACGGACCAAGTGGAATCTTATGAGCGACGCCTCCATCACGCGTGAGGGCTGGTGGACAGTGGACGTTGTCTACATTCCGGGCCGTTTGGCCGTCTATACGTCATTGGAATCGTGCCTTCCTCTGAAGTTCGTTCGTCTGCCCGCTGAAGTTGTGGCGAGAGAGGGGAGATCAGAGCTATTGGTTGGCTTTGTACGCGATACATACCCCGGGTGTTGATCATCGTCAGTTCGAAGTACGCGGAGAAGAGGCGCTGCCTTAATGCAGTCACCTGCTGGAGCGGGGCCGCCCCCTCCGCTCACTCCATCTGATGGAGGCTGGGCGGTGATGGGGACCATTTACGGGCAGCAGGGCCAGCAGTTGACTTGTCCAGAAGAGGTGAAGACTCTCTGGGTAGGTGACCTGCAATACTGGATGGATGAGAACTACCTCCACAGCTGTTTTGCACACACGGGTGAAGTCACGTCTGTAAAGATCATTCGCAACAAGCAGACGGGGCATTCTGAAGGATACGGGTTTGTGGAGTTTGCCTCGCATCAGGCGGCGGAACGCTTGCTTCACATGTACCACGGCGCCCAGATGCCGAATACTGAGCAACCGTTTCGTTTGAATTGGGCATCTTTTGGAATTGGCGAGAGGCGTACGGAGCAGACAGGGCCGGAGCACTCGATCTTTGTTGGGGATCTTGCCCCTGACGTGACGGATTACATGCTACAGGAAACTTTCAGGGGAAGGTATCATTCTGTGAAAGGGGCGAAGGTGGTCACCGATGTGCAGACAGGAAGGTCGAAGGGGTACGGTTTTGTCAGGTTTCTTGATGAGGCAGAGAGGGATAGAGCTATGTTGGAGATGCAGGGAGTGTACTGCTCATCGAGGCCAATGAGAATCAGTGCGGCGACACCGAAGAAGACGAGTGGGGTTGGTGGAGGTGGAGCAGGAGCTGGAGGCACGCAGACGACGGGTGCGAGCGGAATGGTGGGATTGGGCATCGGAGTAGCCACGGTTACAGCCAGTTATCAGAGCATAGTTGGAGGTGGAGGGGCCGCTAGCGGGGTCTATGGGTCTTCGGCTGGAGTTCAAGCGGAGGGGGACCCTAACAACACAACGATCTTTGTTGGCGGTCTGGACTCGACTGTGTCGGAAGACGAACTCCGGACCCATTTTCAGCAGTACGGAGAGATCGGGTACGTGAAGATTCCGTATGGAAAGGGGTGCGGTTTTGTGCAATTTTTGCACAGGGCTCACGCTGAAGACGCGCTAACAAGGCTTCATGGGACCGTGATAGGACAACAGGCAGTTCGGCTCTCGTGGGGCCGTAGCCCGGCGAACAAGCAGCAACGATCACAGCAGCAGCAGCATTGGGGATCTTCGCAGCAGCAGGCAGCAGCAGATATAACCAGCGGGTGGGGAATGGTTGCATCGCCCGGAGGAGCAGCATACTATGGCAGTGGTGCGGCAGGGTACGGAACGGGGTATGAAGCGTATGGTTATGCCGTAACATCAGGTCAAGCGGGGGTAGCGCAGGAATCCTCTGGGTATGCCTATGCAGCGGTGGCAGCCGCGTCGATGTCGCACGGGTATGGGGCTTATGGAATCTATCAGCAACAAGGTTACGGTGACCCGGCAGTGGCGGCAGCTGTTGCTGCTCCGGCCAGTGGTGGAGCTCTGGTGCCTGTTGCCGGAGAGGTAACAGGGGGGTCGACACCCTTGGCGACGGCATCGGGGTTGGTAGTGGGTCATGTGTCGTCCGCGACAAATTCAGGTGGTGCGGCTGTGTCGCAACATACGGAGCAGAAAGAGGACGAATCTTATACGGCGGTCGATGTGGAGGCCATGAATTCCTCGTACATTGCGGTGCACGAGCCGGCGTTGATTGGCCATCACATGTGGATTCGGCCCCAAGATCAACCGCACCATTCCGTACGAGCTTAATTAAATTAGACTGCGCGTACTGTATGCTTGCACCATTCCGACCGAGCTTAGTTAGACTGCTTGTACCGTGTGCTTGAACTGGAGCTCTCATGAGTGCATGCATGAGTGCGTGGGTGTTTGTTCCCGTGCGCGAGCCAGCAAACAAGCACACAGAGAGAGAGAGAGAGAGAGAGAGAGAGAGAGAGAGAGAGAGAGAGAGAGAGAGAGAGAGAGAGAGANAGAGAGAGAGAGAGAGAGAGAGAGAGAGAGAGAGAGAGAGAGAGAGAGATTTTCTGGAAGTGTAGGAATGCATATGCGAGAGGAGGGTTTTGCGAGGATTACAGGCTCTTTCTGAGTTCGTGCCTTTCTGTTTGGCGTGTGGGAATGCATTCGTGAGAGGGGGGGTTTGCGAGGATTACAGTCGCTTCTCTGAACTCGTGCCATTCTGCGTGGCGTGTGGGGATGTTTTCAAAAGTAATGATCTCTTCACCCTGGTGCGTTTTCAGTTTATTCATTCACATTTGCCGATTTATTTTCTGTATGAACCCTTCTGCCTGCAGATCGGATAGCTTGTTGACGATGTCAATTAACCAACAGCTAATCAAGCAACACCTGAGGCTTTGCGACTAGGGGATAGTATAGCCGTTAGGGCCACGGAGGGAATGTGAAGAGGAGGGCGAGAGAGAGCTAAAGAAGGGAGGGTGAAGAGTAGCTTGCCGTCGAATGGGGATTAGGTGTTTTTTTAAGGTCCCTCAATTGATCATTCGATATTGACAGAGGCGTGCTTGCGGTCAGTGAGGCCTTCACGGCATTGCGGCTACCTTTCTTGCGCTTAAGGTTTCCCGGGAAAGGAAAACAGGTTGGCTTTTGATCTGTTTGGTTTCGCGGATACCTTAGGGTTTGTTCAGGGGAGTTAAGGCCCAGTTTGGTTGGCGGGCGTAAAAATTACAGCACGCAGAGGGAACTAGAAGGAGAGTCGTGAGCTCTGACGTGCCTGGGGAAGGGGGGAGAGAGAGAGAGAGAGAGAGAGGCTGTTAGTGTTTAAATCTTTGCATAGGCTGTGAATGTTTAAATCTTTCTTAGGGTAGAGATCGGGTGTGCAGAACGGGGAAAGAATGTTAGCCTGGCGGTAATCGTTTTATGTCGGTTTTTGTCATACTCTGAGGAGGGCACGTTGTGTTCCTGCATCTGGATATGGAGCGGAGGATTGTGGTGCACGGGTATGAGCGTTGTTGTATTAGTGAGCAAAGAGATACTGTGGCATGAACGTTATCGATCGAGGGATGTAACGAAGTGCTTTTCCTCTGTGCTGACGTGTATCATAGAGACTGGCTGATAATGTCGGGTCAGCAAGCCAGGCAAGCTGGTGAGAAAAATGGCCTAACCTGCCCGATTATCCCCCTCTGCCGTCCGGACTGAGCTCGGATGCGTGTACTTTCTGCCTCGGCTTGGGTGCGGTATGATCCGATTATAGTTTCGGGTCAGCAAGTCAGGCAAACTGGTGAGGAAAAATGGGCTACCCTGCGCGGTTATCCCCTTTCCCGTCCGGACTGAGCTCGGATGCGGGTACTTTCTGCGTCGGCTTGGGTGTGAAGCGACCTGAGAATGTACAGGAACCCTTCACTGAATAGAAAACCGCAACGTGGGAACGGGAGGGGTTGACACTGGACGGACAGCCCTGACGCGGGAGACTATTGCAGTTTTTAGTAACTTCTTTCGATTTTGATCATGATATTGCTTATTCCAAGGTGTGGTCATGACTATGGGGCTCGCCACACCAATCTCAAGAACAATTTCAGAATGCTCTTGCATGGCGGAACTCTAGAAATTCCACTGGGGAGTGCGTTTCGCCACGCTACACTCTTGGACGGCTAGGCGCCCGCTGAAGCGCATAGACTGTGTGCACAGCCCAAATCTGACCCTCTGCCACCCTGAGCAACTCTCAAATTTCGAGGCAAAGTTGGGAGGTACCGGTGAGGTCTCTCGAATTTCGAGAGCTGCAGGCGGTCACTCCCACCAAATTTGAGAACGCTCTCGAATTCCGTCTTCTCACAGCTCACGACTGTATTTTTTTAGCCTATTTTGAGAGTGATGTGGCGACACCATGCTCTTAAACAAATTCGGGATTCCGAGGTGGTGTGGCCAGGCCCTATGCGGAGTCTATGCTCCAACTGTCCTGTTTCTTGTTAAGTGCACTGTCGTCCGGTTTTGGCGTCGTCGTAGTGCATACCTTTCTTTCATTTCTTCCTCTGCAAACAGAATGGTCTCTGTGTATCTTACAGTGTATTCTCTCTTTCAGTTGTGGTGACGGTAATTTTTGTTTCGATGACAGTGGATGCTATTTTTCCTGTTTTTTTCGTTGGCATCATCATGTGCTGATGCGGACAGAAATTCAAAGGGCGTTGCATGGATTCGTGCATCTGGTATTTTCCCCATGGATGTCGGATTTATCCTGAAGTTTTTGATGGAAAGCTACTAAGCATAGGGTAGATAAAGTGGGCAGGGACAGTATAGGACCTTCTTTTCATTTGTTCTTTGCCTTCTGAGTTGTCTGAGGAGACGATAAGGAGGGCAACAGGAAGAGTGAGCAAGCGGTAAGCAAATGCGTATTCTGTATTCTGGATAAACCATTATGTCGTGTAGGAAAGGGAGATTGACACCGTATATTTTTTTGGCCAGCTTTAGAAAAATAGGTGAAGCAACGCATACCCTTTTCTAGACAATGATTTTGCGTGTTTCCCCCTATTTGCTTCCTTGCGCTATTTGCCTCAAACTACGTCCCTGTACTGGTTCCTTTGGGTTCCTTAGTTCCCATCTGTTTCTGCCTTCCGGATTGAGTCCTTATTTTAATCTTCCCATTCTCCGTGATCATTATCTCCCTCCTCTCGCTCGGCTGGTCTACTGTTTCCTGTTGTTCCTTTCTGTTTCTCTTCCCCCCTTTCTGCTTGTATCCTTTCTCTGTGATTTTTCCATCTTTCTCGCCAATCTCTGAGGATGGATGTTGTGTTCTTGTCCGCTTGTAGCCGTCCCCGGTGTAAGCAGTTTTCTCCCCAGCTGTCGACTTACTCTTTTCGTATTGGCTCTCGAGAGCTGTGCTTTCTTCATTCAAGAATTGTGACTGCCTGAACCCGCTTGTCGACTTTGTTCAGGTCATTCTGTTGCCAGTCTTGCCTGCAAGTGCTATTTCACATCACCTGTCACTAACCTTTTTTTTTTTTTTTTTTTTTTTTTTTTTTTTTTTTTTTCAAAAATGAACTTCTCGTTATAACAGGTTAAATTGAGGCGGGGACTTCACAATTCAACCCGGAGTTATCCTGGGAGCATTACCCAGTTTCGCTTACGAGCAATTGCTCGAGGAACCCTTGCACCAATCTCGAACAAAATTGACCAGATGTAGGCCACTGTCCTGCTACCTTGCTCCTGGAAATAAAATAAATCTTCAAGTCTACAAAACCTCACAAACCAAAAACTATCCTATCCACAGCTACCCTACCAGCTTACTCATCTACCATTCCGTCTAAAAACGAAGGGTGGTCCCGACTCACGAAACTTAAAGTGGTGCTCCCACCTCAACACTCAACCAGCCGCCGTCCTCCTGTGGATTTAGAGAACCGAGCGACCCAGGTTCAACAAAAAGGGGCTGCAGCAGAATTTCAGATTTTGTTGCAGGTTGAAGCCACGAGTTTGGCTGCAATTATTTCCAGGCACGTACAATGGCTTTCCAAGAACCTGAACCAATCATCCTGTTCTGATAGAGGGAAGTAACAAGCATGTCCACACATCCGAAGGTCTCACCAGGTTTCATGCTGTTGCCAAGATGGCTTCAGCCATGGATATCCGATGGGCTTCCTCAAGGGAGCAAATCGCCTGAGTAATCCATCGAACCAGCATAGCAAGGCTCTTACGGTAAGGATCAATCATTCCCATGCCCCCTTCTTCTTTAGCAAAGCAGAGCAGATCCCAAGCTGCTTTTGACATAAACCCTTCACTAACTCTTGACACACAGTGGGTGAGAAACCAAATGACACATCTGAAGCCCTTCACAGGGAATAGCTATACCCAATACAGCAATTGAGTTTTTGTGCCTCCCAACCCATATTGAATACTTTATGTTAGGAGGCACATTCAGGCACTGCACGTCGGCGTGCAGAACCGCTGCACTCGAAACAAAGTAATCCTCACATAGCCAGTGGGATGGCAATCCAGTAGAGAGAGACTGCCTGTGCCTTTGATAGTGTTGATATAGCACGAGGGGTTCCAACACCACCGAACTATCCTGCCAAGGTGTGTCCAACTGATAGCCATATAACTGCTGTTGCAACTTTCAGAAAATTTCACCATGGTGGGAGTGGGAGTGGAGTAACAACGCAGGGGATGAAGCACTCGATAGAACAGACAGGAAATGGGTAGCAGCACGGAAATTGTACCAGGTGCAGAAGTGCAGCAGCACAGATGTTGGATACCTGCTTGTTAGTTGAACGGGCAATCAAACGACCCAAGCATATAAATATCCGCGAACGTATGACCCAAGCATGTAATATCCGCCAGCATTGACAAGCCCATCTGGTGCATGAAATGAGGGCCTCATCCTTCTCGTCCTCCTCCATCTACTTAATATCCACGTGTGCTCCCTATGGCCACCTCCTTGTTCCACCTTCTCCTGTTGTGTCTCCCTTTTCCTTCTCTTCATGTTCCCTCCTCTTCATGTTGTCCTGGTTGTCTTCCATGTTCGTCTCCTGCATCTTCTCAGCTCTCTCTCTCTCTCTCCTCCTCTCCTCCTACTCCCCTTCTCTTGTTCCTGTTTTTTTTCCGCTTCTTGTTCTCCTTCCCTTCTCCTTGTCAATCTCCTCCCCTCCGGCTCCTTGTCCTTCCCCACCCTCTTCTCCGTCTTCTCGTGGTTTCTCCTCCTTTTCCTCCTGCTCCGTTTGGCAAAGAGACACGGTCACTAGCTTCCCAGTAGGAGCAGAAGCTCAAGCATAAGAGTTGACACTGCCAAAAGCGCTTGCGGGTATACGAGCTGCAACCATTTTCTACCGTCGGACACCAAAGTTAGTTTGACCAGTTTTCCACCTCTTGAATGCCCGTTTTCAGAGCAACAAACTGGACATGTCAGGGCCCTCTCCTCTTTCTTCTTCATTTTCTTGTTCTTCAGATATGTGGAGACCTCTTGCTCGAATGATGCATCTCCAAAGACGAGCCATGAACGCGTCGTTCGTAGTAAGTCGCTGAGGCGAGTGGATAGGAAAGCTAGAGTTGTTGTGAACACTGGTCTCCCTTCGGCTTCAGGACCACCACCACCTGCATGGAGAGCAGCAGATGAAGCGGTATATCCTGCAGGGAGAACGAAAAAGTAGAGGAGCGTTTTTCTCCTGTAGCAGGAACAAAAAGGAAGGAAGAAGGAGAAGATGGCAAACAGGCGGAGCACCAAGAGAAGAAGAACAAGACGAAGATGAAGGTGGAGGAGGTGGGGGTAAGAAGAAGATGGAGGGAGCAGACGAGAAGGAGGAGGAAGAGGAGAAATAGGGTTGGAGCTAGGTCTGATTCAAAACGTCTTAGGCTGTGGCAGGGTACAAAAGGGCGTATCGATTCTTTTCTGCTGTTGCTTCATCCGCTGGCATCATATGATGTCTTCGTCACTGTCAGCTCCTGCCCTTCTCCCATTGTCATTGCAGAGGGAAAAGTGTCATCAGCCTTCGAACCACCATTGAAGCTCTTTTTATCACAGGCCGAGAAGACAACAATTCAGGCAGGTAAGGATGAAAATTATGGGATAAGTACTTGGAGCGCGAGGATGGTAATGATGGGATCATTACTGAGAGTGTGATCATGGTCCAGGTTCATGGTACCGCTCATCTTCTATACACTACTAAAATCGCTGAGGGAACTAATTTCTGATCTGGACCGTTGTTGGTCCTACCGACCCACAGCCAGGATCGTTTGAAATATATAATAGATCTGGAATCCTGGTTGTCGGGTCCTACTGGATTGACGGGCCGGATTGGCGCACGGTCTTAAACCACTAGCACATTTGCCGTGTGGGAAAATAGCGGGCCTTGGGTGGGCCTCTGACCTTTTCGAAGGCTGAAACGAAACCACAGGCCCCGATCATATTTATCAATGGCAGCCGTTGTCGGGCCTGGCCTCCAAGTTCTCAGGAGTTTGAGAGAACTGCCACTTTTCCCTATTTTACCAACACTGGCGGAGGTAATACTGGTTTAAGATTTTAAGATCACACGTCAATCAGGCCGTTGGGTACTACCGGACCAACGGGCTGGATTGATGCGGTCTTAAACCACCACTCCCCCCGGCCCTAGAAACTGCCGAGGTACCGGTAGGCCGAAATCGGCCATTTTTGGCTGCACGACCGGATGTTCGCGAGCTACCTTTGCCCAGCCCGATTTATCGTTTGAGATGTGGGACCCGGTGGGCCGGCAGCATTCGGACGCCAGTCGTCGCAGGCCGATGTCCGAGTTCTTCCATAGGACATCGATGTGGCCGCCCCGACCGTATTTGCTAATTTTCGAATTTCAGGAAATGCACAATATTTTAGATTTTTGTCTATTTCGTTTTTTGTATTTTTGTTTTTTTGTTTTTTCCGCATTTGTTTTCGCGTTTCCTGCGGAACACGGACAGCCATAAAACGATCCATGTTGCCATCGTCGATGGCATCCGAGGTTCGACTTCAATGATTGTCGTCTCGTCGTTTTACCTCGGGCATCGGCGACAGCGACAGGCGGTGAGTCCGACAGCAACACCACTCCGCCCCCGCTACCCTTTTCAGCTTCTCTCTTCTGCCACCCTTTTGCCACCGCCATGCACCCTCGAAATCGGATCCAGC